TTCTACATCCAAGCTAATACAACGATAACAAACACGATAAGCTCAACCGTGTGAAGTTCCTCTGGATTCTGGAGATGTGAACGAGAATATGAATTGCATGTGGGGTCCCCTCTCTTCCCCCCCCCCCCCCCTCCCCACCATGACACTTTATAATTTTGCTGCTTTGTATTCACACACATGTATTCAGGGTTGGCGGTGCAGATTTTGGAGGCTGGGGGTGTTGTTGTTGTTGTTTTTTTAGGCATTCCCATTGACTTGCATGAGGCGGAATAAAGATTTTGAAGCTAGCACAGGTTTAAAAATGGCCGTCTAATGTCACGTTCATGCCATGTTAAATGAAAAGTAATGGATGGAGAGTGACTTTTCACATTGTCTTACTCTGCAATCAAACTACACAATATCAAACCAATTACTCTTTTTACCAACTGATTCTTAATATTAACCATTTCTCACCTAGTTTGGCTTCATCTACCACCATGATGCTGACAAAATGTGACTTAAGTTGATGTGAAATATGTTGTTTTGCCGCGATTGCCGAAGCGCCGCCATGTTTCTTGGACATCATCTATGAATATTTGACTGACTTATCCAAACATTGGATTAAATATTGTGTAGTTAGATCCTGGCATTACTAGTAACTACAAATGAAAACATGTCATTGTTCGGAGGGTTGGTCGCCACCCAATTGGTTAAAAAATGATTTGTCGAGTCATCTCACACTAGCATTGATGCTAAACATTTGGGATACCTTTAGCTATCTTGCTAACAACATTTTGAGCATAATACCCTAAGTTGTTGGCTAAGTACATGCTAGCAGGAAACCAATATAACACTTAAAAATACACTGAAAATAACGTCTATGTTTGATACTGATATGATGTGAATGCGGCATTAGGCTATAGTGAACTTAAACAGCTTTGAGGACGTTTTATCATTCATATTTCTGACAAAAGCTTGCATTTTAAGTGCTGCAAAAACAACCGGTGTGTGTAGCTGGGGCTGATTTTGATCTGTGGACCGTGAACCAAATCTGGTCTCCAGTGCCTTGTGAAAAACATCTATTTCTGATACCCACAAGTGTGAAAAAGTCGGCAGGCGGTGTTTACAGGTTGTATTTTTATTATCATTATCATCATCATCATATCCTTCATGTTCACTGCAAACCTCAAGAAGATGATTATTATTTAAACTGCTATGCATTTACTGCGAGAATAAAAGATAACCTCTGATTCTGAATGAAGGCCTTTTATGTTGATATTTATTTAGCAGTTCATATGTTGTAGCATTTCATCTATATTTTCAAATCTTCATTCAAATCCAGCTTGTTTTTCTAATGCATCATTTGAGGTTGAAACTCCTCCAGTGTTTTGTGATTTTTGTTTGCCGTGTTTCTGTTGTTTTTAGACCTTTTAATTTGTGGACGTTTTGGAGATTGACCATATATCACTTTTTGCTCCAAACATCAAGCATCGTCACGACCTCTAGCACGTCCTGCCCCGCGTTATTTTTGATAGCGTTCTGATTTTTCATTCATATAAATATATCACATTTGATGCATCGTTTCTTTTTTTTTTTTTTTGGTAGCTCGGACTTTTTTTGAGGAAATATCTGAAAAGAGATAGTGGGACTGTTTTACGAAAATAGCTTAAAAAACTATTGATGTGAGAGGAGTTATGTACTGTAGCTGCAACTTGTGAATTCAGAGCACCCCTTTAAATTCAATAAATTTTGATTTGATAGACTGTTTCGAACAAGTGTGTGTTTTGTTTTCCTTGTCTTGCCATCTGTGTTTAAAAACCATTAACATCCATTAAAAAAAATCCTTGCTCGTTACTTTAAATGTATTTCAAAGTCAATTAAACTAAGGTATTGCTCTCAAACAATTCTGCTTTTTGGGGTGGTCCCTTTCCTGTAGTGTATTCTATAGGTTTTTGTGCATGTAAATGGTCTGCAAAGGCTAAAATCCCAAAGTTCCTAAACATAGTGACATCATGATGTAACACTCACACTCCTATTGGCTGGCGTTGCAACACATTGTATATGCTAAGAGGCGGGACATCTACTGATATACACCTGAACATCAGCAGGAGAGGACTCTTTAAAGTAGAGACACTACATACTGATATACACCTGAACATCAGCAGGAGAGGACTCTTTAAAGTAGAGACACTACATACTGATATACACCTGAACATCAGCAGGAGAGGACTCTTTAAAGTAGAGACACTACATACTGATATACACCTGAACATCAGCAGGAGAGGACTCTTTAAAGTAGAGACACTACATACTGATATACACCTGAACATCAGCAGGAGAGGACTCTTTAAAGTAGAGACACTACAGACTGATATACACCTGAACATCATCAGGAGAGGACTCTTTAAAGTAGAGACACTACATACTGATATACACCTGAACATCAGCAGGAGAGGACTCTTTAAAGTAGAGACACTACATACTGATATACACCTGAACATCAGCAGGAGAGGACTCTTTAAAGTAGAGACACTACATACTGATATACACCTGAACATCAGCAGGAGAGGACTCTTTAAAGTAGAGACACTACATACTGATATACACCTGAACATCAGCAGGAGAGGACTCTTTAAAGTAGAGACACTACATCCTGATATACACCTGAACATCAGCAGGAGAGGACTCTTTAAAGTAGAGACACTACATACTGATATACACCTGAACATCAGCAGGAGAGGACTCTTTAAAGTAGAGACACTACATACTGATATACACCTGAACATCAGCAGGAGAGGACTCTTTAAAGTAGAGACACTACATACTGATATACACCTGAACATCAGCAGGAGAGAACTCTTTAAAGTAGAGACACTACATACTGATATACACCTGAACATCAGCAGGAGAGGACTCTTTAAAGTAGAGACTCTACATACTGATATACACCTGAACATCAGCTGGAGAGGACTCTTTAAAGTAGAGACACTACATACTGATATACACCTGAACATCAGCAGGAGAGGACTCTTTAAAGTAGAGACACTACATCCTGATATACACCTGAACATCAGCAGGAGAGGACTCTTTAAAGTAGAGACACTACATACTGATATACACCTGAACATCAGCAGGAGAGGACTCTTTAAAGTAGAGACACTACATACTGATATACACCTGAACATCAGCAGGAGAGGACTCTTTAAAGTAGAGACACTACATACTGATATACACCTGAACATCAGCAGGAGAGAACTCTTTAAAGTAGAGACACTACATACTGATATACACCTGAGCAGGAGAGGACTCTTTAAAGTAGAGACACTACATACTGATATACACCTGAACATCAGCAGGAGAGGACTCTTTAAAGTAGAGACACTACATACTGATATACACCTGAACATCAGCAGGAGAGGACTCTTTAAAGTAGAGACTCTACATACTGATATACACCTGAACATCAGCAGGAGAGGACTCTTTAAAGTAGAGACACTACATACTGATATACACCTGAACATCAGCAGGAGAGGACTCTTTAAAGTAGAGACACTACATACTGATATACACCTGAACATCAGCAGGAGAGGACTCTTTAAAGTAGAGACACTACATACTGATATACACCTGAACATCAGCAGGAGAGGACTCTTTAAAGTAGAGACACTACATACTGATATACACCTGAAAATGAGCATAATATGTCCTCTTTAAATATTCATTTTTCACTTCCATTTCTTCACGTTCGCCCATTTCTTTTTGTCAGGTCTTAATTGGGGAGTTATTTTGTTATCATTTCCTCCATCAGTAGCATCCGCTCTGTTTTGAATACAACAGAAGAATGACGGAAAAGCTGCAGTATGAGTGGGAACAGTTACATTAAATCATCTTTAATCAATATTTGTATATCAAACCACCAGGTGCAATAATCTACTGAATCTGCAGGGGTTTTTTTCTGGATGGAGTTACAGCTCAGTGTTTAACTGGTAAGACAATAAATGTGTTATAATGATAAGAAATCCACATTGCTATCATGAAGGAGTTTTAATTTAATTAACAGGAGAGAAACCGCCTGAGATCATCTGTCTGCTTTAAATAAAGAATATCTACATTTTCTTCTCACTTTGTTTTTCCTCTTTTGTATTATTTAGTGTCTGGTTATGGTGCATGAGAGGTGTTTTTGAAGATGTAATGTGAAGTCATGGCCACTGGGAGGCGCTGTGGCTCAGGGCTGATATGTGGATAGAATATACTGGCACAGGTCTAAATGTATTTAAATAGCCGGCTTTAAAAGAATACCATAGATTTCATTTTTGAAATTACATTAAATCAACACATTTGTCTCAGAATGACAATAAAAAAAAAAAATTATACAAGAATATGATTAGATTTCATGATAGAATGAAAAATACATGTCAAATAAAACATCTTTAATATCATTCAAATGTAAAAAGGCAACATCCTTTTTACATTTTTCTTAATTTGAGAATTTACGTCATGGTAAAGACCTTCCAACATAAACGTCTCTATACGGTGTCAATAGTTTAATCATTTCAGTTCCCCCACACTCTGCTGCTCAAAAAGTCCAGAAACTAAGATCACATGTATTTCTGAAGACTGGAGTACGTCTAAGAATAGATTAAATATTATATTGTGTCCGTTTCAGAATAAAAACCACCCATAAAACCTTTTGAAATGGACTTCCAGTAACCCAGACGAACACAGGACAATAACACGGCCCCCCCCTCTACATTGTGATATTCCCCACGCCCCCTTTTTGTCCCAAAATACAGAAGCGAACCTGTTGCTCTTCAGCTCAGGAGACACAGATAGCTTATAGACAAAAACACTCAGTGGGGGAAGCACTTAGGAAACACACACACACACACACGCACACGCACACGCACGCACACACACACACACACACACACACACACACACACACACGCACACACACACTAGTAGTAGTAGATGCACCACTCCAACTGGATCTCTCTGAAAGGTTACTTTGATCGTCCATCAGCTCTCGCCTGCTCTGAGAACCTGATCCTTCCCTGCAGTACGTAATCTGTTTCGAGTGACACTGAGTTTTCCACAGCTTATAAATAACGTCTGCTCTGACTTCCAGCAGATGAGAGCAGAGCGTGAGAGAATACACACTTTGGGAGAAGTCCTCCATGGAGGTAGATGGGAAAAGTTGCAGCCAAGGGATCTTCCTGCTGCAAAACGTCCGTTAAAAGTCCGTTTGCAACTTTAAAATATCTGAAAACTGGAAAACCACAGATTGATCTAACGGAGGAACTACTGAGGAAGTTCTCAAGAACTCTTTTTAAGGGCGTCGAACAGAGAAGGAACTAAAGAAGGTTTGGGTTTCTGAGCTGCATTTCGGCCACTCTTTGGACTTGAATCTCGAGGTTGGTGAGGGTCTCTAAAGAATCAAATCAAGCCCAATATCACAAAACACGTTTGTCTCAGTGGGCTTCACAGATTAGAAGCAAACAACAACATTGAAGCCATGGATGAATCCACAGAAGGTCGACAGGAAGTGATGGAAAGCGAGGCTCTCGTTGAGTTCAGAGCAACGTTACAAGCCGCCATCAGAGAGGTCCACGTTGACGTCAGTGCCTTCAAGCAACGCATCGAGAAGAGGATCGGAGAGCTGATTATTCCCAACGGACCTTTGGTGGAGGCGGTGAACCGGCTTCAGGAAGAGAACCAGCTACTCAGAGCCAAGATGGAGGGTCTCGGCCGGCTGGTGGAGAGCATCGCTGGGATACAGATGGAGAGGAAGAACGAGGAGGAGAGTTTAAAGAATGGACAAAGAGAAGAAAGAGCGGGAAGATCCGAGTGCAGCCAGTCGAGTCAGTCGATGTGTTCGGAGGTTTCGGGGTCCAGCGGAGGCTCGAACTCTGCTCCAACGAACAACCCAGCTCCACCTCCAACGAACAACCCAGCTCCACCTCCAACGAACAACCCAGCTCCACCTCCAACGAACAACCCAGCTCCACCTCCAACGAACAACCCAGCTCCACCTCCATGGAGAGCAAAGAGACACGCTGATACTAACGTGAGTACTCCTAAAGGGTTTCAGCTTAAAGGTCTCCTATTATGCAAAATCCATGTCTCTTCTACATCAACATGTGTCCCCTCTTCTTCATGTCTCTTCTTCATCAACATGTGTCCCCTCTTCTTCATGTCTCTTCTACATCAACATGTGTCCCCTCTTCTTCATGTCTCTTCTACATCAACATGTGTCCCCTCTTCTTCATGTCTCTTCTACATCAACATGTGTCCCCTCTTCTTCATGTCTCTTCTACATCAACATGTGTCCCCTCTTCTTCATGTCTCTTCTTCATCAAACATGTGTCCCCTCTTCTTCATGTCTCTTCTACATCAACATGTGTCCCCTCTTCTTCATGTCTCTTCTTCATCAACATGTGTCCCCTCTTCTTCATGTCTCTTCTACATCAACATGTGTCCCCTCTTCTTCATGTCTCTTCTTCATCAACATGTGTCCCCTCTTCTTCATGTCTCTTCTTCATCAACATGTGTCCCCTCTTCTTCATGTCTCTTCTACATCAACATGTGTCCCCTCTTCTTCATGTCTCTTCTTCATCAACATGTGTCCCCTCTTCTCCATGTCTCTTCTACATCAACATGTGTCCCCTCTTCTTCATGTCTCTTCTTCATCAACATGTGTCCCCTCTTCTTCATGTCTCTTCTACATCACCATGTGTCCCCTCTTCTTCATGTCTCTTCTACATCAACATGTGTCACCTCTTCTTCATGTCTCTTCTTCATCAACATGTGTCCCCTCTTCTTCATGTCTCTTCTACATCAACATGTGTCCCCTCTTCTTCATGTCTCTTCTTCATCACCATGTGTCCCCTCTTCTTCATGTCTCTTCTACATCAACATGTGTCCCCTCTTCTTCATGTCTCTTCTACATCAACATGTGTCCCCTCTTCTTCATGTCTCTTCTACATCAACATGTGTCCCCTCTTCTTCATGTCTCTTCTTCATCACCATGTGTCCCCTCTTCTTCATGTCTCTTCTTCATCACCATGTGTCCCCTCTTCTTCATGTCTCTTCTTCATCAACATGTGTCCCCTCTTCTTCATGTCTCTTCTTCATCAACATGTGTCCCCTCTTCTTCATGTCTCTTCTTCATCACCATGTGTCCCCTCTTCTTCTGTCTTCTCTTCAATCACCATGTGTCCCCTCTTCTTCATGTCTCTTCATCATCACCATGTGTCCCTCTTCTCCGTCTTCTTCATGTCTCTCTCTATCATCACCATGTGTCTCCCTCTTCTTCATGTCTCTTCTACATCACCATGTGTCCCCTCTTCTTCATGTCTCTTCTTCATCAACATGTGTCCCCTCTTCTTCCATGTCTATTCTTCATCACATGTGTCCCCTCTTCTTCATGTCTCTTCTTCATCACCATGTGTCCCCTCTTCTTCATGTCTCTTCTGCATCACCATGTGTCCCCTCTTCTTCATGTCTCTTCTTCATCAACATGTGTCCCCTCTTCTTCATGTATCTTCTTCATCAACCATGTGTCCCTCTTCTTCATGTCTCTTCTACATCAACATGTGTCCCCTCTTCTTCATGTCTCTTTCTTCATCACCATGTGTCCCCTCTTCTTCATGTCTCTTCTTACATCACATGTGTCCCCTCTTCTTCATGTCTCTTCTTCTTCATCACCATGTGTCCCCTCTTCTTCATGTCTCTTCTTCATCACCATGTGTCCCCTCTTCTTCATGTCTCTTCTACATCAACATGTGTCCCCTCTTCTTCATGTCTCTTCTTCATCACATGTGTCCCCTCTTCTTCATGTCTCTTCTTCATCACCATGTGTCCCCTCTTCTTCATGTCTCTTCTTCACATCCATGTGTCCCCTCTTCTTCATGTCTCTTCTACATCAACATGTGTCCCCTCTCAACATGTGTCCCCTCTTCTTCATGTCTCTTCTTCATCAACATGTGTCCCCTCTTCTTCATGTCTCTTCTTCATCAACATGTGTCCCCTCTTCTTCATGTCTCTTCTCATCAACATGTGTCCCCTCTTCTTCATGTCTCTTCTTCATCAACATGTGTCCCCTCTTCTTCATGTCTCTTCTTCATCAACATGTGTCCCCTCTTCTTCATGTCTCTTCTACATCAACATGTGTCCCCTCTTCTTCATGTCTCTTCTACATCAACATGTGTCCCCTCTTCTTCATGTCTCTTCTTCATCAACATGTGTCCCCTCTTCTTCATGTCTCTTCTACATCAACATGTGTCCCCTCTTCTTCATGTCTCTTCTTCATCAACATGTGTCCCCTCTGTGGAAAGAGACTCTGAAAGTTTCATGAACAAAGATTCTCTCTCTTTTTGATCCATTTCTATAAAAACCTGTCTGAAAATGAGCTGATCAGATTTTGGCCACTTGATGATGTCATAACGATGTGTCGGCTTGTGTAACCATTAGCCAATCAGCAACCAAGGTAACCCCCTTGTTTACATTGTGTGCATTCATGTGATTCATAGAGTCTATGATGTGGCTGAGGTGAAGTCTCATCGGGGGTCCCGGGCCTTGTAAAGGGTTAGAGTTAGGCTAACCCTAACCCTTTAATATATTTGAAGTGTGTTGTTTTTATGAATATTAACTCTGCAAAGTGTCTTTGAGTTTCAAGAAAAGCGCTTATTATTATTGCTTAGAGGTCAGTGGTTGCACATTCTGCTGAAACTTAAACCAAGAAACTGAACCATCAGCTCCTTGAAGAAGTAATAATAAAAGTGCTAACATAATCATGCAGTGGATTCAAATGATGCACCACTTCCCTTGATCTGAATCACTGATATCAAGAGACGACATCATGGCATTGAAAATAGCACATTCTCCTCTTTGCTCCAGATCCAGATGAGACACTGACATTCAACTCTCCCCGATCTGATTGATAGATCCGTGCGATTGAAGGCTTCTCCGGTTGCAAAACACTGCAGTGGTTAAAAATAACTACTAAGCAGATTTTTTACAACCTTTAAAAGTTCTCACGATTACATCCATTTCATATTTCGTGGAATATTGCCAAAAAGAGAAGTTGCCAGATGTTCTGTCAACAGTTGAATCAGCCTGCTCGTGTTGCTGTATCTTTTTTATCTGAATCTTTGCAGCTCAGTCTTTCCAAACACCTTTCCCGAGGTGAACTAAGTTTAGCCAAACTCTGTCTTCATCCAGCACCAAAGCACGGTACGCTGTGTTCACCCCAAACATAAATAAACACATGTTATATCCACGAGTAAAACAACAAATCTATATGGGTCGAAAATAAACCATCAGAAGATCAGACGTGCTGCATGTGAGGAGTCAGGATCATACTGTGATGTTTAACCTCTGACTCCAGTGGTTTCTCTGAAGCCTCTTCATCACCTTCATCACCTTCATCACCTTCATCACCTGGTGAATTATAGACATTTATTATATGATTGTGTCCATGCAGACCAACACACACACACACACATACACACACCACACATACACACACACACACACACACACACACACACACACACACACACACACACACACATACACACACACTACACACACACACACACACACACACACACACACACACACACACACACACCACACACCACACACACACACACACACACACACACACCTTCCCCCCCCCCACACACTCAGCGCTCTGACAGCTTTTATCACCGCAGGTCCTCCAAAGGGCACATGTATTTTGGGGTTAGTGATTTGGGACCGGCTTTGGAGCCAATACCTGCTCACTTAGTAACGTCCTGAACAGGAAAGAGACACGTGACGTGTTTCTTTGATTTGTGCTTCACCCGTCCACCAAGTTTCAATCCAGCAGAGGTGGTAGAAGTACTCAGATCTTGTACTTGAGTAAAAGTAGAAGTACTCAGATCTTGTACTTGAGTAAAAGTAGAAGTACTCAGATCTTGTACTTGAGTAAAAGTAGAAGTACTCAGGTCTTGTACTTGAGTAAAAGTAGAAGTACTCAGATCTTGTACTTGAGTAAAAGTAGAAGTACTCAGATCTTGCACTTGAGTAAAAGTAGAAGTACTCAGATCTTGTTCTTGAGTAAAAGTAGAAGTACTCAGATCTTGTATTTGAGTAAAAGTAGAAGTACTCAGGTCTTGTACTTGAGTAAAAGTAGAAGTACTCAGGTCTTGTACTTGAGTAAAAGTAGAAGTACTCAGGTCTTGTACTTGAGTAAAAGTAGAAGTACTCAGATCTTGTATTTGAGTAAAAGTAGAAGTACTCAGATCTTGTATTTGAGTAAAAGTAGAAGTACTCAGATCTTGTTCTTGAGTAAAAGTAGAAGTACTCAGATCTTGTACTTGAGTAAAAGTAGAAGTACTCAGATCTTGTACTTGAGTAAAAGTAGAAGTACTCAGATCTTGTATTTGAGTAAAAGTAGAAGTACTCAGATCTTGTTCTTGAGTAAAAGTAGAAGTACTCAGATCTTGTACTTGAGTAAAAGTAGAAGTACTCAGATCTTGTTCTTGAGTAAAAGTAGAAGTACTCAGATCTTCTACTTGAGTAAAAGTAGGAGTACTCAGATCTTGTACTTGAGTAAAAGTAGAAGTACTCAGATATTGTACTTGAGTAAAAGTAGAAGTACTCAGATCTTGTATTTGAGTAAAAGTAGAAGTACTCAGATCTTGTTCTTGAGTAAAAGTAGAAGTACTCAGATCTTGTACTTGAGTAAAAGTAGAAGTACCAGAGTGTAGGAATACTCTGTTACAGTAAAAGCATTCAAAATGTTCCTCAAGTAAAAGTATAAAAGTATTCTCATCAAAATATAGTGAAAGTAGCGACAGTAAAAGTAGTCATTGTGCAGATTGGTCCATTTCAGAATAATATATATGATATGTTTTATAATGATTGATCATGAAAGTGTTCTCAAAGCTGGTAAAGGTGCAGCTAGTTTGAATGACTTTGTATACTGCAGGGTAGCTTGTGGATTTACTCCAGGTGGAACTAAAGTCTGATTTAACACTTGATTATATTTCACATCATTCATCCACATCTGAGAAGTAA